AAACTGACCCACACAAGCACAAACTGACCCACACAAGCACAAACTGACCCACACAAGCACAAACTGACACACACAAGCACAAACTATCTCTATCAGTTTTTCGGTATCAAGAACCGACAAAACGGGTTTCGGACTACATGATTTGTAGAAAATAATTTTCTACAAAAAGAAGCAGGATTTACCCACTTTTTTTTCGCAGCATTATAATATATTCCCTTTACTACATAAGTGCGTAGTAAGGCTAGGAAGTAAAAACTGAATGTGACGTTAGTAGCGTAATTGCATAACATGTACACAATGGCAAAGGTAATAATTAGAATTTTCCCCTGACTCTTACTATCTTAAATGACAAATACGGAACTATCAAGTTTTTGAATGTTGGGAGAGTAGTAGTACCCCTTGATGCTCAGCGGATTGGGGTCAGGATAGACTATATGTGTGTCCGAGCAATCGGTTGTCTCTTCAAAATAGTGTGCTAAGAGGGAACTGTATGATGTATTGTATGATCCAATTGTACGCACAAGAATTTTTATCCTAGTCTAAGTCAACTTTCACATATCAGAAGATACTTTCGTTAGCACAATTTTAAAAGTTTAAAAAACATTTAGCAAACAATCCGATAATTTCTGAAAGCAGATGAGAGTCAATATTATTAGCTTAGTTCAAAACCAAGATTGTAGAAATTATGTAATGTGATAGAGTATGTTATACGCAAAAAATGAAACAGCTTGATGTATAGACACGGGCAGAGACAGCGCGACGGATGGACATGGACAGAAACACTAACCCTGACCGACAGACAGAGACACCGACGCCCAAAGGCCGGCCAGTAGTGGTGTCAAATGACACTATAACGATCCAGATACAAGCAGCTCCAGTTTGTGCAGCAGAAATAAATATGGCGTTGACCAGGACGACTATATTCTCCAAGAACCGGAGAAGCGGCCTAGTGGGATACTTAAGTGGTATCTTTCGATAAACGCATGAAGTAACCTGCGTACTAATTAGTCAAAAACAGTAAAAATTGTAGGTGACGTATGGGAGAGAACATTAACTGCGCACGTTCTCTAGAGTTCCAGAACCCCTTCCCAACATTTGAACTATAAGTAGTTGAAAGATGAATAAAAGTTAAAAAACTTATAGTTTAGGAAAACTTACGGAAAACGTATTTGAAGTTATGGAAAACTTATTTGCATCGACAAACGAACTCCAGATTTGATCCCCCTGTATTGCCAACGAAATAGAAACTCGCCCCCAGCACCACTATCACTACAAGCAAGACGTTCAACAAAAGAGAGATAGTTCAACGAAGCGCACAGTGAAGTTACTTCACATCGAGCAACTGGTATACGAATGAGTAAGGTCAGGTTAACGAGACATCAAACATTAGACATCTCACAAGAAAACAAGACTTGGCGTGCAACAGAAAAGCATAATCCAGTTGCAGAGGCCAAGGGACAGATCCCAAACAACATATGGACGCCTGTAGATAAATGAGAACTGAGGAGCAGTGGAGAGGTGTACGCAGCTTATGAACGAACACTGCTTCGTCGGGGTATCTAGTCCGCTTCCATCGGATTATTACAGACCCAGCTTTCTGGATCTCCATCACAGTAGCGGAGGCTGCAGAACACGTCTTCGTCTCTGCCCCGTTCCAAAATGAGGGGAGACTACTCTCACAGCAACCAAAGTCCGAGAATATTTAAACAAAATTCTGCTTCTAGAAAACCGTAAGCAACGGCGGCCTTCGTGGCCAAAATAACTAAGTTGAGACCACAGGAGCTGGCGAGATGGAGACTTACGTTACCACCGAGTGGCAGGGCAGTCACGCCGAAAGAAAGACACAGTCACGCCGAAAGAAAGGCACAGTCACGCCGAAAGAAAGACACAGTCACGCCGAAAGAAAGACACAGTCACGCCGAAAGAAAGACAGTCACGCCGAAAGAAAGA